TACCAAAAATAACGTATACAATATACTGATTTAACGTATAAAATTTAACAAAAATTACGTATACATTATACTGATTAAATGTATAAATTCAGTATTTTTTTGCATACGAAAAAAGATGATTTTCAGTATCTAGTATACAGAAATATTTACGAATTTATTATACTGATTTTTTACGTTTATTATACATTTTTTAAACGTATTATTTCCATATACTTTCCTTATACATATTATTTATAGGGATCTATTCTTAAAAGATACTTAAAGTTAAAAAAATATGTGCAGTAAATAGATTAGTTTAGCAAGTAATTGGGTTAGTCTAACAAGTAATCAGATTAGTTCAGCAAATAATCGAGTTAATCTAACAAGTAAGCAGATTAGTGAAAAAATACTGTACCTATTCGGCTAACATTAGCTTAAATATTTATTTTTTTACATCTAATTTTTTTAGCTAAATGCTAATTAAGTTTAAATAGATATTTGAATTCTTTAAAACAATATTTACAGATACAATCAATATTAACTGATTCTTTATCTGTTGTATAATATTCTTCATCAGAAATTGATTTACTATCTTGATTACTATTCTTAGTCTTAGATACAAATGGTTAAGTCTTATATTTTCATTCTTAAGATTGATAACTTGCTATTTTAATGAAATTATTTTATCCTGCATTTCTGTAAATTTTCACACATATGTATTTTTATATTGCAAATCTACAACTTGATGTCGTAATTTATAATTTTCTGATTCTATAATAGAAAAGGTTTTATATATTATAGTGATAGTTCAAATATTTTTTTCAAATGAGAAAAATAGGTTAGTCATCTTATACAGTGCTAAAGATATAAGAAAAGAAATTATGCTTTACACAAACAATATAAATATATATTTGTGAAATTAACTGTTAGAATCACTTTATTATATTTTCAAATAAATGTCTTTTTGGCTAAGAATTATAAAAAAAAGCTATAAAGATAATGTATGAAATAAAATGATGCTTATAGAACTATAAAGGATTTAAGAAGATGAGAGTATTCAAATTCTAGGCCATAAATGAGAGTTCTTAATATCAAGTTATTTCTTTATTCTATTATAAATTTCTATACTAATTGTTTTTTTCCTACCACTATTGCTAACTCTTCTTATTCCATCATTTTCCCCTTCCCTTTCAATCTGTAGAAATATTTTTTTTCCATCATTATAATTTTTGGGGTCTTTTGATATCGATAGAAGCTGACCAATATGGTAGGACTAAGTTTGATTTCTTAAGATAGAATATTATACATATTGTATACTTGTATAAGAGAGCATTTCTCTCTTTTTATTCTTTCAATCCAATATATTTATTTGTATTTTATTATAGCTTATAGATGAATATCTGTTGGAGCCAGCTAAGGTAGAGAAAAAAACAGATGTAGATTAGCCTTAGAAAATCATATTAGTTATTAAACACTTGTAAGCAAAATCTAATCATACCTTATGAAATAGTATCATTCTTCTATTTATTCTCAATGCGTATGTTTTGAAGTTTGTTATTTAGGAAGTCTCAGAGGGACTGGACTAAGATGGATCTTGAAAGATCACTATTTCTCCTAATCTGTTATTTGATGAATGTTTCAGCAAAAATTATATATAGGAATAAAGTTCCCAAAAAAATAGCTTAGAGATTCTTAATAGTTATAACTCCCTGGGATATCATTTTATAGATTATTACTATAGCACAAAAAAGTGTGAGTAGGAAGATGATTGAGGATAATATTTTATTAATTTATTTGTTTAAGAATTGATTGATTAATACGATACTGCGCAAAAATTGTATTTTAATTAATATGGATTTTATGTGCAAAAAATTGGTTGATTGATTAGATTGGCAGTGTAAAACAGGGTTGAATTCAACAAGATCAGGATCCTGAACTATACTAATAGAACTCACAAATGTAATACGAATATGCAATTAAAATTATATTGTATGATATAACTCGGTTAATATTAATGCTAGAAAGATGAAATTACTACTATTAGATTCCTCTCGATTAGACGAATCCAATGGTATAAATTTCATTCATTAAAATTGAATCACTGGTTATTAAGATAATGTGGTATGTAGAATAAGTAAATTTGTAAAAATAAGCAACTTTTGGCAAAGTTTACATATAAACTCTATGCAAACTCAAATGTGAGTTATATTAGTATAGTTCGAGGTCCTATAAGATCCTTATCTACACAATCTATACAATCTACACAACCTACTTTTACTAATATTCAACCAAGTAATAAAAGTATTCTTTTTTATATGCTTCAACGACTTACTACTGAAAATATTAAATATTGGTATAATTTATATTAAGAGCTACTATATCTTGTGGTTAGCCATTTAGGTGGATAGAAAATGATGAAGCATGAGAAATAATTCATTTTGCTAATCTAGCATTACTTTTACTATCAAGAAAAAATCTAACTAGAAACATTTTAAAAGACATAGCAAAAGATATTAAATTATCACTTGAATTAATTGCATAATCAGAAAAAATTGGTCTTACACTTGCATTTGATAGTTGAAAAAATGTAGTTAAGCTATCAATTCTTAAAATTGTAATAATTACATCATCAGGATGTAGTATTGTATGAGAAGCAAAGGATATTTCTGCTGAACAATCAAGATTTGAAGAAGCTATTAATTAAATAGAAATCTGGTTAGATGAAAATAAAAAAAAAGAATTAAAAATTATTTGTATAGTTATGAATTCTGCTGATATATATACTGCAGCTAGATCATATTTACGTCAAAATATCATGAATTGTTATTTTTATCTTATTTTATACATCAAGTTAATCGAAATATTCAAAGAATCTTCAGATTATCATGAAATATCAACTAAAGCAATAGAATTAGTTTCATTTTTTAATACTTCATCTTATTTCTTAGGAAAACTTTGTGAAGAGCAAAAATCAATTTATGATAAAGTAATTGTTTTACAATATTTATGTGTAATAAGATGGAATAGCCATTACATATGTTTTAATAGTTTAGTTAAAACTAAAATTGCACTTAAGATTCTTGTTACTAAATATGAAAATTTATCAATCTGAAATAAACCTTTAAAAGCTTTTATTTGTAATATAATTAAGAATGATAAATTTTACTTTAAATATTTTTATAAGCTATATAATTATCACAATAATGTAGAATTTTTAAGAAAAATGATTAATCATTTGGAAAGATATTGGACATAATAGGAGTAACCTTTATTATTACTTTTTTTTTTGACTTTATCCAATTTATCGCAAAACTAATATTAATCAAAATATTCGTTCAAAAGTTTTACACTATATTAAAGGTTAGCTTATTTATTATTATAAAGTATGGTTTGAAAAAGAACCTCAACAAATACTTTTTAAATTTGAAAATTATAATGAACAAGAATTTTCATATCAGGTTACAGTTTATAATCAATTTCAAGATGATGTATTAAAGTATTGAAATTCAATCAGAAAAGATAGAAGTGAACTTGCTTTAATAACATATAGAATTTTTGGTGTATGCATTAATTCTGCATTTGTAAAATGATTATTTTCATCTATAAAAAATATACATAATATACATAGTCCTAGCTGTAACTGTCTTAAGATTTAATTTTATTTATATTAATTTATTTAAAATCAAAATTTATTAATATATTAAATAATTATAGTATAATAAATTTTTTATGATAAGTCAACTATGTGGAGAAATGACATGAACAAAACTTCAATCTCAAAAATCAACTTCAATTTTAAATTTACAAAATAAAAATAATTTAGATTTATTTGAAGATGAATCTCATTCAATAAGTGAAAATAAAGCAAGTGAAAATGATGAGGATTAAGAATCATCAGAAGATATAGAATTAATATGAAGAATAACAATTCAACATTAGATTAACTTAGTAAATGAAGAAATAAGTGATGATATTAATTAAGACAATTATAATATAACTTTTAATATTCCAACACTCGAAGATGTACACTCTGCATATAATCAAAATTCAAAATGGCATTTATCTGAATTATTTCCAGAAAGATTAGAAGCTCTAAATTTTATTAATAATAATAATATCAATAATTAATAATAATATATCAATATATTAATTTGGTTTATAATTTTAATATAATAAGTATATATTTTTTTTTAATAAAATTTTAAGTTTCAATTTTAGAAAATGAATGCAAATCATATGATATAATCAAATAAACCTAATAATATATTTATGGTTTATTGGAAAGAGTCAATAAACTAATAGCCAATAATTAATAATTTATTTAGTGTTTTGGTTATTGGTCCAATCCTGGTATAAAATATACATTATTTGAAAGAATTTTTTTTTCTTACCGGACATATAAAAATTTACACCTATGCTTTCAATATATGTAAATTTTTAGTATTACTAGCTAAAATGAATCTACTTTAGAATTAATTATAGGATATCATGAAATATAGTATGCATTTTAGACTTGCATGATCAGGCCTAGCTCAAATCATGTCACTTTGTTCCTTGATTTTTGATGGCCCTTTCAGAGGCAAGTAGAATAGCATAAAAGTTATTATTCATATTGGGTTTGCAATGTCAGGTCCAACTCAAATCTCATCACTTTATTTCTTGGTTTTTGATAATTCTTCCTAAGGTAAAAAGGATAGTAAAAATTTTTTGATATATTATTTGGAATTAAAATCAGATTAGAATAGTTATATCAATCAGTATAATTCTTAGTATCAGACAGGTTAATTCCTAGCCAAGTTTGATACTAACATCTAGATTTGTGTCAAATCACGCAGGAAAAGCTTGAATTTAATAATTAATTTATATGGCTAGAATTGATTCACAGGTAGATTAGAGAACTTTTTGAGTACTATTTTGATTTATGTTCTAGAACCCTTCTTTTAGTCATAGTAAAATTCACCCAAAAACTTGCTTCTGATTTACTTATCTTATTTCCAAATAAGAATTTTCCTACAAAAACAAGAAAAAGAAAGAAAAATCCATCCAAAAACTTGTTTCTGATATATAGGGATGTTAAACAGTCCTAAATGGCTGTAAACAAATATTAAAATTATGAGTTATAGAAAAATCTAATCTAAAGATGGTTCCCATAATTATTTTAAAAATTTTTAACTAGTTGCAACTATTTATGAATTTTTATATTAAAATAAATTTACAAGAAGTTGCAACTTGGTTGCAACTTCTTAATTATGATGCCTATCTTTAGTCTAATCGCTTATCTATAATAAGTAACCCTTGATAAATAATTGTAATAATAAATTTTATGAATAACTTATAAAAG